TTAAAGGGAGGCTACCCCCACTGTGTACTGCCCTGTCTGTTCTTACCCATCTACGTCTAGCATTAAAGGGAGGCTACCCCCACTGTGTACTGCCCTGTCTGTTCTCACCCATCTACCTCTAGCATTAAAGGGAGGCTACCCCCACTGTGTACTGCCCTGTCTGTTCTCACCCATCTACCTCTAGCATTAAAGGGAGGCTACCCCCACTGTGTACTGCCCTGTCTGTTCTCACCCATCTACTGGTAGCATTAAAGGGAGGCTACCCCCACTGTGTACTGCCCTGTCTGTTCTCACCCATCTACGTCTAGCATTAAAGGGAGGCTACCCCCACTGTGTACTGCCCTGTCTGTTCTCACCCATCTACCTCTAGCATTAAAGGGAGGCTACCCCCACTGTGTTCTGCCTTTTTCAGTGCTGGTCTAGACACTGGATTGGCTTTGACTGGAACTGAGACTTTGTTTGTACTGGTAATCAGGGGAAACAGATACCTTTCATATTTTATTAGATATTTTTTAAACGCACAAGTTAAGTTTAGTTAGCAGATGAATTGTTCAGTTAACCTTCAAACCCTCACAGACTGCACCTTTGCCTTAACCCAGACCTCCTGAATTAGAACCTGGCCTTTCGGTGTGCTTGAACCAACCAACCAACCAAAACCAATGCAAACCTCTTGAAGTGAGTGAGTGAGTTTAGTTTTATGCTGCACTCAGCAATATTCCAGATATATGACAGCGGACTGTAAATAATCGAGTCTGGACCAGACAATCCAGTGATCAACACCATGAACATTGATCTATGCAATTGGGATACGATGACATGTGTCAACCAAGTCAGCGAGCCTGACCACCTGATCCCTCTTACAACAAACATGGGTTGCTGAAGATCAATTCTAACCTGGACCGTCATGGGTCCCATCCTCTTGAACATAGCAAGTAGTGAAAAACATGAAACACTGTTTATGTCAATTGGTCTATAAAGTATTTTTGAAGGAACTATCACTGACACATTAGAGTTTTATAACACATGAAAATGCCATGTCCACAACACAATGATATATAATAAATATGTAAAGTGAAGGTGAAACAGAGACAAAATATATCTAGACTGGTACTCACACATTGGGACCAAAAGCGCGCTCTCATGGAAATAAAAATCACAGAACATGACATTGGGAAATGGCAATACAGAATGGATTTGAGAGAACTTGCTGGCAAGTGAAACAGTTCCTATATGATCCAGTATGGCAGTGAGAGTGGAGATTTACAGCCCAGTAACTAGTGGCTAAACACCGGGAGAACACTACAGCCAGGGGTGCTGTAAACACTCTTCAGACCCAGGTCTCAAACTGCTCCATAGCCCAGTCCAGGGCAAGACATTGTAATTGCTGCATTCAAACCAGGACATTGTTAACTGATAAGACACACCATACACTGGTTAATAATGGGTATTTATGTGGATTTTAACCAAACCTGCTTTTGCCTGGATGTGTCCCCATTTGAAGGATGTCTGTTGGTCTGATTATATATACTTACATGAGAAAGGTGTTTATTAAACCAGATGGTGAAATGTCACCATGAATTGATGAACATAACATTAAGCTTCTTTGGTGCAGAGGGCGGTGGGGTAGCCTAGTGGTTAAAGTGTTTGCTTGTCACACCGAAGGCCAGGGTTCAATTCCCCACATGGGTACAATGTGTGAAGCCCGTTTCTGGTGTCCCCTGTTGTGATATTGCGGGAATATTGCTTAAAGTGGCATAAAACCATACTCACTTACTCACTCTTGGATGCAGGCAAATCAAGATGCAACAGGGTGTTAAAATACTGTAAAATTAATGTTGATCATCTTGTTCATGTGCCACACATTGATCTGACCGCCGTTTGCACCAGGTCATACAAGTGAAAGTACTATTTGTGCCTTCAGCGTCAGACTGAGTTTGTTATGAAAGGTGTACATTCAGGAGAAGAAACAATTCATTACCATTCAGAATATTGTTTCCGCAAATATTTGTTTAGTAGTTGGCAGAATTTCTCAAATTACTCTAAAAATATATTTGTCTGGGTATTATTGAGTCATCTAAATGTTCTCAAGAGATGAAACGTCTACCATTGAGAGGACAACAGAATCACTAGATCTTTGTGTTTCGATGCTCAGCGAACAATGTTTACATTCTGTGCTTTCAGCTCTTCCCATCAGTTTCATATGAGAGAAGTGTTCCTGGCAACGTCATTAATGTGTAACGGCAAAGCACAAAAAACACTGAAAATTTAGACAGGGTCTTGGGGGTCTTTTATTGCAGATTTACACCGATCTCAAAAACGTTAAAAATGAAACAAAAATCCGGAAATCTGCAGATCTGCAGAAAATTCTCATGTCTGGAAGATACAGACATTTTCTTTTGAGAAATGGCAAATTAATTAACTGTTGTTTTGCTTAATGAATACGAGATTAATCATATACTGATCTATAATTTTGGCCTTTGTTTCAAACAACCACTTGTTACAGATATAGAAGATATTTTTATCGGTTTAAGCTAAAAGATATGATCTACTATCCTTCATTTGAAGCCACCAAAATGAGAAAAATGAATCTGAATTAACTATATATGAATTCTCATCAGAATATTTGAATTCAGTTTTGCTAATGACCAGCAGAATATTTGAATATATAGTTTTGCTAATGACCTCACAGCAATATATTTCATTGACCTAAATAACATTTGAATATCAAGAACATAAATTAAATCATTTAAAACATGCTATTCTGTTCTATTCAATATGAACATCACAGCTGAATCTTACATAAACTCCTGTTAAAGTGTAATAACATGGTTCCTGAACTCCTGTTAAAGTGTAATAACATCGGCCTGAACTCCTGTTATTGTGTAATAACATGGTTCTGAACTCCTGTTAAAGTGTAATAACATCGGCCTGAACTCCTGTTATTGTGTAATAACATGGTTCTGAACTCCTGTTCAAGTGTAATAACATCGGCCTGAACTCCTGTTATTGTGTAATAACATCGGCCTGAACTCCTTGTATTATGTTATAAGAGGGCCTGAACTTTAACAGTTTTACAATGTTGTCACAGAAAACTATTTCTTATCACCTACTTATGGAGAACTAAATAGCTCTCTCTGCAGTAGTTAGAATGGGCACCAGCACAGGTTGGAACTGCCTAGATCCCAAGTGTGATAAATGATTGACAAATAGCAAATTACACTGGGAAATCAATAGCTCAACACACAACATACTCCGACATAACTGGAGCCAGGTTAACTTCTTCAAACCTGGGAGTTAAATACAAAATGCAGTGTCGTGCAAACTGACTTTGTGAAAATGTCTCAGCTTGTAAGGTAATGATGTTTTGATGTTATTCTGTTATTGATTACTGACAAAGGATGCCATCAGTTTTGTTTAATCCACCTCTTACTTTTCAGCTGTCAGTTCATCTTTAGTATTTTATTTCTTCACTATATGTCAACAAAATATACTCTGGCTGACTTGTACAGATTTGGAAAAGATTCTTTTTTGTAGCGTTGGCTATTGATACAGAAAATAGAGATTGCTACTTGTAAGAAATGAGTGATTGCTGATAGACATATATATGGAAAAGATTTGCATATAAGGATTTCACGTCTTGGTGAGTGGTGACACATGTATTACTAACAAAAACATTGAATAAAATTTAAAAGTGGCCTAGGAATAAAGTAGTAACTCTGTGTATAGCATGTGTAACTTTTAACCATATCTCATCACAGTGCTCCGAAAAACTTAATCTCACTCACTCACTCTGACAAGTGTTAATTGTCATGGCTCCCTTGGCTGAAGCAACGAATGTCTTTTAGAAAGTGGTCAAACGCAACATATGTTATATTTGGGATTACACTTTCTCAGTAATGTACATGTTCTAGTACTTATTTACTTTACATGTGTATTGTATTTATAGCTTAGGCCATGGGAGCAGTGCCAATTTACACTATATTGCAAGCTGATAGCCAGTAAAAGTGAGTGAGTTTAGTTTTATGTCACACTCAGCAATATTCCAGCTATATGGCGGAGGTCTGTAAATAATCGAATATGGACCAGACAATCCAGTGATCAACAGCATGAGCATTGATTGACACAATTGGGATACGATGACATGTGTCAACCAAGTCAGCAAGCCTGACCACCCGATCCCGTTAGTTGCCTCTTACAACAAGCATGGGTCACTGAAGATCAATTGTAACACTGATCTTTATTATAATTATTATAATCTATTTATATAGCGCTGAGTTCCAGCTAGGCTGCTCACAGGCGCTTTGTTTTTTTCCCTTGATCATAGGATGTCAGTCTCAACGGCACTTCATATTATCAATCTCAACTCCCTGGGATCATACAACTCTTGCAGCGACCAGGCGCACCAAGTTAATGTGGCATTCCCATCCTTACAAGGTACCTATTCACAGCTGGGTGGACTGGGACACATAGTCACAGTACTTTGTCCAACTTCACTGCACGTTGCTGTACCTGCAACTAGGTGTTTGCATGTGTTCATGTGGCCACCATCATTAATAATTTTATTGTCAGCTTGAATCACCTTGTTCATCCTTAGTGACCGTTCATAATTCATGGCTAAGGGGGGTGATGATGATTTTTATGGAGAAGCATGTACAATGTGAGTGACCCGCCCTAAAATATATGTACAAAGTAAGGGAGCAACCCACCCACTCCCCGTGCATGTCATGTACAAAATCAATGACCTCCTTCCCCTTCCCAATTTTTTAAGCATTATTACAAAAATGTACAAGTGTACAAAACTGATGACACCCCAACACACACCCCCACCCCCACTCATCATTTTTTGTCTCTTTCTTTTTGTCTGCACTCTTGCAGGCTGGGTAGAGCAAAATCGATCCTCTTGGGTGTACAGGGGCCGACTATGACCAGCAAGTAAGATTTGTATATTTTGTACAAACATCCATATGCATATAATTTATTTTTAAACCAAGCACACTCACCTGGGTCGTGTGTTTGTTGCTGATGAGTATGTGTTGTTGCTGTGCATGTGTCGTGTTGCAGGAGAACCGCAGACAGCAAGATCTCCAGCAACAGTTCCATGATGGGGGGAGAACCGAGGCGGCATGACATCCGCAGCACTCATTGTCATGGAATATCTACAAGAGAAGGGCGTTCTTGAGACACACAGTGTTCACCTTCAGTACTCAGGGCCCCGTTCCACAAAGTGATCGTAGCGCTAAGGTGATCGTAACTCTCATACTTTAACATAGACTTACGACAGTCGTAGCGCTATGATCGCTTTGAGGAACGGGGCCCAGGTTATTTGGGTAAACAAACTCAATTAGGTTTTCCTGAATAAATTTGTGAATATTGATGATAAATGCTTGTTTATTGAGTTAGTAGGAAAACAAAGAATGTCAAAATGTATGATGTATATAACTTAAGTATTTATTTCAAGCTGAGGCAAGATTACATTTTAACCTGCTTACACATGATGCTTTTAAGGTTAGACACTAGAATTGTTGATCCTAAACATAAAATTCTTTTTTACAAAATACATCCCCAAAAACAGTTTCAGCATCTCATGTATTTTCTTGTGGATTTGTCTGTAAATTCATGAATGGACATAGTTGGTAGGGCTCTTGAATACAGTTCAACAACTAAAGGGAAGGATATTCATATATAATTGCCTGACTTCTCTGTTTCAGGTTGATTTTGAAATTCAAATAAACAGCACTGTCTTGAGACAATACATTGTATTGGCAGTTTACAATAAGAGCAAAATAAATATGTAAACATAATTTGATGTTTTACAAAATCTTTATCCATTAGCCATATTTCCTCAGGACATAGTAAGTCAGTACCTGAAAATATTTGAAAATAAATAAAAACTGAACAATATTAAAAATGTTAATCTTTCAATGAACTCATCCCAAAATTAGAATGATCACTTAGGGACCGTTCATAATTTATGGCTAGGGGAGTGATGATGATTTTAAGGGGGTCACCCATTTTGTTCTGGGGAGGTAGGGGGTTCAGCAATTTTGTACACATGTTTCTAGGGCGGGATCAGCAATTTTGTATATTAAAAGTATTTAGTAAGTATGCTTAAAAAATATCATCATCACCACCCCCTGGCCATAAATTATGAACGGTCCCTTAAAACTGACTTGATATTTTGCATTACATTTTCATGAAACACTATATTCTTATATCGAACTTCAATGTAGTGAATGGGCATTCTGAGATTTGGCATTGACATGGCTAATTGGTAATATATACCGGTAGTATCCTACGTAATGCCCTTGATATATCGGGAGAGGCATTAATATAGGCCTTGTTCAGCCTGTTTGCCGATCCTTTTGTTCCTTATGTATTGTCTTTCTAATGTATTGTCTTTATTTTGAATAAATACTGTTTAAACCATATCCTTGAATAGTATATATAGGGGTTTGCTTTGCCATATTGACAGAGTCTGGTAAATATCACAATCAAATCTTTGATCATTTATAGCTAAAAATGGATAAATATGACAAACCAACTTGTAAATGAAAATACATAAAAACTAAAGCTGGGCAATGCTCAGGTTACGAGGTTATCCACGTGTAGCTGGGCGTGGTAGGTCATGTCCAGCCACTGGGCTGCTAGTCATAACATTATAAGGCAGTTCTTTGAAGAAAGATGAAGTTTATTTTGTGCTCAAAGTTGGGGGGAAGGCTGACAAAAAGAGAATCTCCCTCCTATAAGAGTTCATGTAAAATGCATGAGGAGGGCAGGTGTGAAAGGAAGTTTAGAGAAGAGGACCGAAAGGCCAATCAAAAGACAGGTAGCATCTGACAGGTGTGAAAGGAAGTCAGATGCTGGACAGTTATATTAGGTATGATTACACAATGCCATTTAGAAAGTGGTCAGATGCAACATATGTTATATTTGGGATTACACTTTCTCAGTTAAGTACAAACTCTAGAACTTTTTTTTGGTTGAGTCCCATACGGGATTCGAATCCGCACCCTCAGAGTCAGGCACCAACTCGCCAGCACACAAAGTCAGCCGCCTAACCCGCTCAGCCACCACAACTTCCGGGAGTCGGACAACTGGTAGTCTAGACTGCGGACTTTGTGCACCCCTCTGATAAGTGTAAATTGGCACGGCTCCCACGGCCAAAAGCTATGATTACACAATGCCATTTAGAAAGTGGTCAAATACAACATATGTTATATTTGCGGGTTTGAATCCTGGTTGGGACTCAACCAAAAAAAGTTCTAGAATTTGTACTTTACTGACACAGTGTAATCCCAAATACAGTCGAGCACAGTTGTGTCGAACTCTGATAACTCGATATCTTGGTTGTCTCGATATAACATCTCGGTCCATAATTCATAATTTATCAGTATTTAAGCTCTTTTAATTCGATACGGATGTCTCGATATTTCAGAGTGAGTGAGTGAGTTAATATTTAACGTCACATCGGCAATATTTCAGCCATATCGTGACCCGATATTTCAGACATCTCGATATAATTTCATGTTCCCAACAAACAAACTTACCCTTTTAACTCAATTTTTGCAAAGAAACTCAATATTCACCTGACTTTCATGGGCAAGTATCCCTCTGAACTGAGGTTGTTTACACACGGTGCGGCATGAATCAAAGGGATGCGGTAGTGTAAACTAATTAGGGCTATTTGAGTTGAAGGTGTCAAGTTTAATTAGGATTAATTAAGAAGGATTTAATAAGGAAGTACTCCCTGTTACGACTAGACACTACTGATAACAGATTATAGTTTCGAATCAAAACATACTGACAAGCGTTTTGTTTTCTTTCATAGTGATATGCGATGATATGCCCTGGTTGGATGTCTCGAAGTTCGGATAATTCGATATTTTTTCACGGTCCCATGAATATCGAGACAACAGTGCTCGACTGTATATCATATGTTGAGTTACATTAGGTGGTGGAAGTGGCTAAAAATAGAGAGGGGAAGTCCAGGTGAAGCTGGAGAAATCAGAGGCTGCTAAGGGTATTGAAGATTGAAGATGTTAGTGGGCTGACATTCAACTGGAGACAAGGACAACATATAATGAAAACAGCCTGAAATGATGATGGATGACAATATGTATATGTATAGATGTATATGATAAGACTAGCGGTGGCGTATTAAGAGAGGGTGGCACTGAAGTGGTCATAACTCAGTCAGACTCGGGTATAACCCTGACTACACACGGAACTGGGATGCATATGATATTTGTGCACAGATCAAACATACAAAATCTTCATGCATGAATTAATAGTTCTATTCCAAGCGCGTAACAAGACATTTTGTTTGTGTAAGCCCGATAGGTTGCAAAGCTTTATATCTTGATTGTATTGAGGGCTTGCCCAACCATATAGCATATGTGTAAGCCCGGGCGGTTTTTTTATAATGGTAGCTACGCCCCTGTATTCATAACATTTATCTGCCTTTACCTGTGAAATATGTACTCACACAATGCAATTCAACCTCCAAAGTAATAACGAATGCAATCTTTTACATTTGTGCATTTCAATAATCTAATAAATATCAAAACAAAGATCATGAGATCCAATATGTGACTCTACAGGACACAAATATGCTAACTATAGTGTAAACATTAGGATTACTGCCATTACGTTAAACTCACGTGACGATAACAGATCTGTCCCTGTGCAGATACAGAGTAATGGTAGTTATTTATTCGTTTACTACAGATTCATACGACATTCGCAAACTTTGGTCCACTTTACCTTTTTTGAAGAAAGTATCACATATATTTATTGTCGGGTTGGTTTGTTTGTATTTTGACACTATCAGCTGGAGGCCGCCATGTTGTTTATCCGTCTCTTTGACAATGACAACTTCCTGTAAGGGAAGGAATCCAACGCGCACCTGCTCAACGGGAAGACATTTATGGGGCGCTTCGTTAAGTTTTCAGCCATGTTTGCAATCGTGGCAAGGTTCTATGATTTATAACAGAACATTAATACTTGTACACCACTTCTGACTGATAGTCAAAAGCGGTACTGTTGTTGACGTGTTTTGCTAGGTAACAGTGTCAACAACATTAGGCAGCAGCCTGTGTCTGGAATATATAAACCAATGGTTGATAGATTGATGAACGATTACAATGACGTTACAAAGACTACTCCGGTCAGACGACAAATAAAATCTTGCGTTTAGATTGAGCACCCCCGAGGTTACATTCATTGACACAATGATACCGACACAAGATTCGAAGACAATATCCTAGTGAACTTGTTTGTATCAACGAAGCCGAATGTACAAATTCACGTGTTAGCACGCGATACGCAGCAGGTTTAACTAATTGCACCCGGGGCGTTCAAATCAAATCATGCAAACATCCAGTCAGCTCGGTTGTTGATAAGTACGAAGTCGTCAACTCAGTATCTATTTTCTGGAGTGATTTTCACAAACCCCTTTAGCCACGAACAGAAAGATCAGTGGGTGAATTGAGTGTGGTTAGTGTTTTGGCCATTATTTGGCAAGATTCCAGCCATATGTTGGTTGGGGATACAACATTTACTTATGAGGAAATCGAACTAGAATCGTCATGGTAGCCAACACATACTTCACCACAAGGTTACATAATCTCATATTTACCAGGCTCCAAGACTTGAACTTTTTTGGGGAAAATAGAAAGAAATCCACGAGAACATGTTTTATGAGTTTTATTCAAAACTGTTGGAGTTGATCTAGAGTAACATAAAACATGAAACATAACAAAATTATATTGTTTGTGAGAAGCAAAACATACAAAACAAAGGTGGAATTGACCCCACCCCTCTTTACACACACAATCACACACGTACCCGCCCCAAACCCCTCCAAAGTAAAATTAAAATTAATTTTTTTTGTTTTTTTTGTTTGTTTGGGTTTTTTTCAAAATTTTTAAAATTAATTGTTAGGTTCTTTTAAAATACATGAAACTAAATGATTCAGTTAATCAACATGATTGGTATGGTTTACTGAAACAAGCTCTGAGAGAGTTAAATAAACAAACAGTCCATGAAACATGTCATGTCTGAATTTGAATTCTTGGATGCCGCTAAAACATTGGAGAAAATCCATCTGGATTACGTTAATTGTTTAATCGGCATTCTAGAAGTTAGTGACTCAAAAATGAAACATAAAAATTTATGGATGACAACTTCTTATGTATTGCATAGAGCGACGTTTCGATGTAGATTCTTACATATATTTACTTCGTCACGATATGGCTGAAATATTGCCGATGTGACGTTAAATATTAACTCACTCACATATATTTACAGAGTTTTTAGCTTGATAACCATGTAAGAATCTACATCGAAACGTCGCTCTATGCAATAAATAAGAAGTTGTCATCCATAAAGTTGTATTTTTCATTTTTGGATTACGTTATTTGTCCAATTGTAATTATCACCATTAGTAATCTGAACCCAAATAAGAAGCCATTCCGAATTCTGCAATATCATGCATTGTTCATGGGTCGACACACACAAGCACCTGCTTGCAGCGGCCAGACGCACAGTTGCCCGAGCACCACATGCTACTGACAATGTCGTCTGCTGTCACTGCACGTGCTGCACAACTGTCGGACTGAGTACATGAGGTTGCTTGAGGGTTACATGTTGTTGTTGGCGTGGAGTGCGTTGATGTGGTTGTTGTGGTTGTTGTGGAGGTGGAAGTGGGAGTAAAGGTGAAAGGCGAGCTCGAGGGTGTTGGCATTGTTGTGGTCGGCTGAGTACGGGACAGAATGGCAATGTCTGAGCAACCATAGAACTCCTCCTGCGGCCCACACCCAGTACACCCTCGGCCGTCAGGGTCAGTACCCCAGCTGTTTCCTGGAACATGGAATGGTAAAGAGAAGCATCACCTGTCTCTTCACAGTCATACTTTCAAAAGTCAATACATTGGTATTCGAAAAGGTGTCACGACCTGTGATGCTTTATCAACAGAAACCTCAATCATTAAGCTTATGTGATCAGTCGTGAATGTCCATACGACGAAACGGTCTATACATTTACAATGTATCCACATGTCTACATTGTAACTGTCCATATGTTTTGTTTGTATCCACATGTCTACAATGTAACTGTCCATATGTTTTGTTTGTATCCACATGTCTACAATGTAACTGTCCATATGTTTGGTTTGTATCCACATGTCTACAATGTAACTGTCCATATGTTTTGTTTGTATCCACATGTCTACAATGTAACTGTCCATATGTTTTGTTTGTATCCACATGTCTACAATGTAACTGTCCATATGTTTTGTTTGTATCCACATGTCTACAATGTAACTGTCCATGTTTTGTTTGTATCCACATGTCTACAATGTAACTGTCCATATGTTTGGTTTGTATCCACATGTCTACAATGTAACTGTCCATATGTTTTGTTTGTATCCACATGTCTACAATGTAACTGTCCATATGTTTTGTTTGTATCCACATGTCTACAATGTAACTGTCCATATGTTTTGTTTGTATCCACATGTCTACAATGTAACTGTCCATGTTTTGTTTGTATCCACATGTCTACAATGTAACTGTCCATATGTTTTGTTTGTATCCACATGTCTACAATGTAACTGTCCATATGTTTTGTTTGTATCCACATGTCTACAATGTAACTGTCCATATGTTTTGTTTGTATCCACATGTCTACAATGTAACTGTCCATATGTTTTGTTTGTATCCACATGTCTACAATGTAACTGTCCATATGTTTTGTTTGTATCCACATGTCTACAATGTAACTGTCCATATGTTTTGTTTGTTTGTTATTTAACATCGCACTCAGCAATATTCCAGCTATATGTCGGCGGTCTGTAAATATTGCAGCCTTGGCCAGGCCATCCAGTGATCAACATCATGAGCATCGATCTACGCAATAGCGATACGATGACATGTGTCAACCAAGTCAGCGAGCCTGACCACCCGATCCCGATAGTCGCCTCTTACGACAATCATGGGTTGCTGAGGGCCAATTCTAACCCGGATCTTCACGGGTCTGTCCATATGTCTAACAAAAAACGGCCAAATACCAAATGTCCCCAAATAGTACCTGTATGGTATTTCCACTGCAAGACGCACTGGCTACAGCTGACTTTGGATGGCAAGATGACATCAACGTGATACCGTTTACTTGCTGAACCAATTGGATATCTTGTTCCCGACCCATCGGCCAGTGCCAGGAGGTTGCTATCTAGACATGCCTGTGTAGCCCTGACCTTCATGTCATTTACAGGACAAAGGCGGAACTCAAACCAGCCAAGGTGATTGGCCGTGATCGCCACTGTAACGGTGACCTTTTGACCTTGACTATACGTTGCGCCTATTGTTCCTGTGGCGTACTTTCCTCCCGCTTCGTGGTCACGTGGTCCCTGCCAGGGGTCGCCACACACGCCACATTTACCGCCATGACTTTGTTGATTCTGAAAGGATACGCAAAACACGTTGTAATTTTGTGTTGTGGATACTCGAACGCTTAAGAAACATCTGTAAAACATCTCACTAATTTATAAAAGACAGCTTTATCCTAAAAACAAGCCACCATCCGAGTATTTACAATATTTATAATGTCTGTATGTCGCAACATATTTCGACGATAGAAAAATGAAATTGTATTCCACGTGGGATATTCCTTAAAATATAGAATCGGGAACCGATGATCTGTTGACATATTTTATTAGCTGCCCAGCTTCACAATACTTGGTTCACTACCGTTTCAAGTACTTCTTCGTATCATATACCATGACAGGTATCTGGGGGTACTGTTTTACTAATCAACCAGTAGATAACACTCCCAGCGACATGAAGTCATACAGTTCTATTTGTAGAAACCCCATAACAGTTAGGGATGAATTAACCGAAACAAGCTACCATGATTTTCAGTGTGTACAGGTGTTCATATTCATTACAAAATACGGGGCGGTAGTCTAGTGGTTAAGGCGTTTGCTCGTCACGCTGAAGACCCAGGTTCGATTCCCCACGTGGGCACAATGTATGAAGCCCATTTCTGGTGTCTCGCGTTGTGATATTGCTGGAATATTGCTAAAAGCGCCGTAAAACAAAATTCATTCACTTACTCACTCATTACAAAATACAAACATGTGTTAGGAAGTGAATAACCACACCTGCTTTTAAAAGTACACTCATACCGGAACGAGACAATCAGATTTACCAAACTTAAAGGAACATGTACACTTGTAAAGCACATAATCAGTGTTTATAAAACGTCACTATGACCCTACAACAGACTCAGACGTTTTTGCCGTAAGCCTCGTAAGGATCGACCACATGGATCGAGGGAATGGCCTTGTCAACCACCTTTCTCACGATACCAACCAGTAGGGAGTTGTTCTAAACTGTTTACAGACTGCCATCTTATAGCTGGAATATTGTTGACCTGTCGTGAAACAGTAATATAAAACAACCCACGATTATAGTCAGACCTCGGGTAATCCCACAGCGAAGTGGCTGCTGTTTATAGGTCGGAGGTTGTAATATCAGCATCTCTCTAGCAGGTAGACATGTGGAGGATGGCAAGATCATCCTCCAGAACGCTGTGCAATCAACCAGCTAACACATTCTAACCACACCGAAAGGATTCCTCGACAAGCATGAAGTCCTACAGGGTACTGTACCGCAGAGCGATCGTAACGCCATGACAACCGTTAGGTACTGTACCGCAGAGCGATCGTAACGCCATGACAACCGTTAGGTACTGTACCGCAGAGCGATCGTAACGCCATGACAACCGTTAGGTACAGTAAACTACACTTATGACAAACTCAGAGGGATCACAAATGTCGGTTCGTTATAAACGTAGATCGTTGGAAGCGTTTCGACTAAAGTGACCGAGACAAACAAAAGCCTCGTTCGTTATAGTCGTCACTCCGTTGTATACATACACTGGAAGCTGTCTAAACCGGCACTCGTCGGGGCTGAAGAAATAATTCGGTTTAAACAGAGTGCCGGATTGTAGAGATGACGCGGTTACCTACGACTAGAACTGAACCAGTTTTGTGACTCTCATATACATTGTTGTATCACGTGTATTGGCTGTATGTGAGTTACGATGACTTCAGAGCCATGGTCGCTTCATGGGACGGACCGCTGGCAGCCTATTCTGTCCTGCAAAATAACAGTTACCTACACCACGCCTAACTATCCCCTGAGAAGGTATTCGTGAATCAAAAGTAGCAGTACGTACATAGAAGCCTCCGCAGAAGAGTTGGTTGTCGTTGTAGTTCTTGGGGGTGTTGAATCCTTCTCTCCACATGGACGCCCGAGACGGTGGAACCAGCAGTCGACCGTGACCTTTCACCTTCATCCACAGCGTAAGTGCAAGTATAGCAACAACTGCACCTCGGTTGACCATTGTTCTTGAGTGGGAGAGGGATATGATACCATTACATCGATGCTACCACAAGCTGTGATATACATGTCAAACAGAGGCTTCTTTGACTATACCGTTGATGCCGTTAGTATCACGACTACTACAATGATGAATACAACTACAGCCATCACTACCACCGCGACAACTTATGGATGTAAAACAAAACCAAAACTTTCCTCTCATATTTCGCACAAAACTGAGTCTGTAACTCGAATTAAGTGAAATTCAATTTGAAACAGCAGACTTAGACAAAATAACACCAGATATGTTTGTAGGTACATCTACAGTGTGAACTGAACAGGATAATTTTAGGTATAATTTAAAACGTCAGTTCCTTCTACAAAGTTACTACATTAAGAAATATGTAGCATCAGATCCGCTCCTCTCAAAGCAAAGGGGCGGTGGGGTAGCTCAGTGGTTAAAGCGTTTGCTCGTCACACCGAAGACCCGGGTTCGATTCCCCGCATGGGTACAATGTGTGAAGCCCATTTCTGGTGCGCTCCACCGTGATATTGCTGGAATATTGCTAAAAGAGGCGTAAAACCATACTCACCGCAGTCGATCAAATTCAAACCACACGTTACCTGAATAATATCTTTCACATTTACACAAAACGATTGGTACCAGGTATTGTCGCACATGCTTACCTGCACGTCGATGGATATTTCTAAAGTAATTGACCACGGTCCATTTTTATAAGCACGGACCAGGATCTGATTTAGCGCAGATCTCGGACAAGGTCAACAGCTTTCCTGACCTGGCGAGATGAAGACGATAGATACTTGCATAATAGATCAACTGATGGAAGAAGATCGTAATCTCCCGAGTGAGTCAGTGTCAAGGATATTTTGGCGTGCTGATAACTAGGCAACATCTAAAGTATTCATGTATAGTTCCAAGCTCACGCAATGTACAATTTGCCTTCATCAACGATTAGTTAAGAAACACCTACATATCGTTGTGTCGATGAAGTTTGAAAGTAACCGTTTCAGTTACTTAGTCCCAATATCGATCTGCACTGTCCAATTAACACTTGAAAGCGAAATTATTGAATTAAAGTTGGTGGGCTAGTCACGCCGAAGACCCGGGTTCGATTCCCCGGTGACCCCCGCTGTGATATTGCTGGAATATTGCTAAAAGCGGCGTAAAACTAAACTCCCTCACTCACCTATTCTAAACGAGGCGAGACTCACAAAGTGTCATAAATCATTTCATGGAACATTTAACATAGAGAACGAAGTGACGCGCTACTGAATTCCAGGCATTTCGACGTCCAATACTGAGCTGGTCGTCACGTGGGGAGATGATCATGCTGTTAACCACTGGGCTGGCTGGTTGCCCTAGATGTGTCTAGTTACAGGTCGATACACTGTAGTATTGCTGAGGTCACCATCAAACAATATCTTCACTGTGAAGATACATGGCCGTGTGATTACTTCGCTTTGAACTGGTGCCTGTTGTTTAGCTTGGAGTTTTCTATTCCTTTGTTTGCGTGTGAAATATAAAAAAGTGCTCATAAACGAACTTCATGTGTTCACGATATAGTAGAGTTGTCTTTTCTGCATGAGTATACTATAGAGGGACGTTGTTTGGCACTAGTATCTTTTTTTATTTGTTATTTTATTCAGAAAACTATATTTGTAACTTTTTCAGATATTGCTTTCCTTTAAATTTCTATTAGATACAGTGTTGTTAAAAGACAAAGGCGTTGTAAAATCTGTATTTTTAAAATATTTTTTTTACTCTGGTTGGGACAAAATGTCAGTGTAAATTAAATATAAACCAACTTCTTTGCTAAAACATAAGTCCGGTTGTGACAGTGCTAACCAAGCCAGGCTGAATTTCAATCCTGATCCAAAGGCATGCACGTGCGGCACGAGATCGACTTATGAAAAATACATGTATCGTGACCTCCCTTGAAGCTTGTAATCATTTATTAATCACTTCACCGTGGGGGATTACATACTTCAGGCAGTCGAAAATATCTCTCAATTCGCATTGCTATACCTAGAACAGGGAACTACTAAATTGCGGAATTCTTCAAAATGAATCCACAATTCAACAACGTTTTAACTGTCCCCCTTGAGGGTGTCCGACTGCAGGTTGGGGTGTTCGGTAACTTGTGACCTTCAATTAAACACCATTCCACACTGACCTATCTGAACTCGCGCCTGGATCTGTTCAGGTGAGAATTCCCCATGCGTGTCGGAAAACCAAATGGTAGAGGAGGTCAGTATTTGATGTTTAGGTGCAGAAGATTAAGTATCAAGACAAGGAGAGCAACTTCTATCCACTGGAAGTGTTGTCAGAAGGATTGCCGTGCCACCATCAACGCCAAGATGGCCTACTGACATGTTATAGAGGCGAACACAACCATATTGTAGACAACAGACAGATTGCCATTGACAAGTTTGTCATCAGTTTGAAGGACATGGTCCGTCAACACTCGAGGCCGATACCTTCCATGTTTCACCATCCCAACCTTTAACAGCATCAGACCTGCAGTTATACCGATTTATATAATATGGATATAAGGCGATGTAAATTATTAACATGTGTCATGTAAAACTAAACGTGTTAGATCAATATTCTGCCACAGTCATTCCTTAAATTAACAGGTTTCAGAGTTTACAGGATCACACAACACAGTGACTAAATATCACAGGTCACCAAATAGCACAGGGAACAAAATATAAAGCGCACCTTTTGTTGTAGGGCATTATCTCGCTCCAGTGAAGTGGGACTCTAAAACAAAAGGTGCTGGGTAAGTGAGAATGACCCGGTGAGATCGGGTCCCATCTGTGACCTGTGTCCGAGATGGATTAACCAGATTAGAGTCTTATTAACTCGTGGTCGTATCTGTGTCTCTGGATTTTTTCTGTGCCAATGGCTTCCTCTGTGCCAATGACTTTCTCTGTGCCAATGGCGTTCTCTGTGTCACTGGTAGACTTGAACTCCTTAACACAGTAATTATGGACAGTTAAAAAAATCATAAATTCTAGGTTGTATGAACAATAAGAATAAGTTGTCCCTTTGAAACACTAATGTCCTTGTGTTGTCCGCTAATCTAGACTTGTATTACACATTATACAGTACAGCCTTCGAGCAAGGCTAGGGCTATACCATTGACTGCCATTTACAAGGTCAGGCCAGTCTGACATGCATTCATCCCACATGTTTTGATCAAGAGATTGTACAATATCAAATTATGACTGACAGAAGACCTGGATATTGCGCACAGTATTAGTTTAACTATATGCTGATGACGTCATCCTAGTTTCTGATAATTAAACTAAATACATATAAATACAAGGGATCTACATCAGATGCATTGTATAAATCTTAAGACGTCTGGGTACAAGGATTCTGTGGATCGTAATAATAATTTGTGCCATGTTAACGAAAGTTGACATTTATATGGAGAACATGAAATGATAGGAAAAATGAATGTGAAATCAGTATTGTTTATACACTCTTCAAAAAAAAACCGCATAGGTGATTTTGAGAACACTGGACTCATGTAACTCCGGTAAAAACAATACAACTATTCTATTTTTTCCGAAACGTCATCTTTGTTTAATTGTAAACAGCGTAAGCACCAAAACACGTCAATTTTAACTTTTTCCCTTGTTTTAGAAGCGTTTGAAGAAATATTTGCCAAAACGTCACCAAGAAAACATGCAAAGGAAAAATGCACGTGCAAGTAAGCATGTGGTATCGATCACTATAAAAAGGCAAACGTTGTGTTTAATTTTGTCATTTGTTTTTGCCTGGAAAAGACGAAATCATCATGACACGAATGAGTGCAGCCAGTCGAAACATCACCATAGGCCGCCTCAGGGAGTCACAGTCTGCATTTGCCCGACATTTCAACGTTCATCAGAGCACCATATTTCGCCGTTGGGATTGTTTCCTGCAGACCAATTCCGCCGAAGATCACCCGAGAAGCGGCCGTCCAAGAGATACTACCCATCCGGGTTGCTCACTTGCGTCATCGTCTTGCCACAATGGTGGAGATTGAACAACGCACTGAGAAGAATTTCCGACTTACTGATTGTGTGGAGAGGGGATTCCCTGTTTTGAGAGACTTCCATCAGCGCAATCGCTTGCGGTGGTGTCGTAGAGTTCGGAACTGGAACCGTAGAAACTGGAGGCGAGACTGGTATCGTGATGAATCACGATTTCTTCTTTACCGGCAAGATGTAAAACAGCGCGTTTAAAGTCATAGAAATGAACGTTTTTGCCCCTAATTGCATTCGACAGGTCGACAGATTTAGTGGTGGTTCAGGACAGCAAATCGGTACATCAACGAAGTCCTTGCATGTCACATGCTTTCAGTTATGGACCGTCAGAGAGAGTCCAGTATGACAACGCTACTTCCGCTACCTTGCCAATTCTAACGTCAATGTGCCATGGCCTTCCCGATCACCCGATCTAAACCCGATGGAACACCTATGGGATGAACTCGATCACACACGTCAACGTCAAAACACGCCTCAGACACTTCCACAACTGGCCATCGCATTGCAGGTAGAGTGGGGAAGAATTCCGCAAGAGCGACTTAGTCGGCTTATCCAGTCTGTGTCGAGTCGGTGCAGAGCAGTAATTGCTGCCAATGGTGGCCATACAAAGTCCTGATTTTGACGCCATCTTGTGGACTCAAGAAAACAAAACCACAACAATAAAGGCTGCTGTTTGTCTCACCTTTTTACCACTGAAATTGCATGAAATAATTGCTCTTAATCTAACGCAATAAATTCTTCTAGAATGGCTTATGCGTTTCTTTTTATGATAATGTGTACATACATGTACACTGCAACAACATGTGTCTTATAGTTATGCTATCAACAAAATGTATACGCCGCTTGAGGTACATTTCCAGACATGGCCTTCACAGCCTATGTTGGGAATCAAACGTTTCAACCCCAAACCTTACACACCTTTTGGCAAAGCGAAACCACACTGGTGGCGGATATCATCTT